GATAAAGAAATTAAAATGTGTACATAACAATTAGAAATAAGGAAGGTTATGGACTAGTTCAATGAAAAAGGGCAATTATGCAAAGATTTCAGAAAAATAGAAGATCATAAAAAGCTAACGATAGAATGAAAAATACATTGAAAAATTAGAAATCTTGAAAATTGAAAATAAAGTTTTGAAAAAAAATTTAGCTTGATTTTCTACTTTATTTCTCGTTTTTTCTATTTGCTATTTTTCATTCAATACCGATAAAAACCTATGAATTTAAATTTAAAAATTTATGTAATAACCACGAAAAGTCAATTACATACAAGATAATTTTGCATACTGAATAAGCCACTTTATTTAAAATCGAAACTACCAGATAATTATAAAAGCAAATTATATCACAGGAAATTATAAACATGGAAAGCAAAGTTTTTCATTGCTATAATATAGATTTTAAGCCAGAAAAAATTTAAAATGCAGGAAAATTATGTATAAATAGTGCTATCATCTAATGCCTTTTTTATTTAGACCGAATTAAATAGTTAATTGTAAGAAAATAATCTTATAGCAGAATAATAATCAATATAAAAAGAAAATTACGATACTTACGAATTTAAATCTTTCGATGAAAAATTAATTGTCGCATCCAAACCATCCAATTCTTTGCTGTCATCTGACCATTCTTTAGATAAATGCTTTACGCAATTAAGAAAATGACGCTGGAAATTCGCAATTGGAAAAAATTTTAAGGATATAATATTCTAACCGAAAAATGAACCAATTCATAGTATTAAAAAAAGTGGAGTGGGTTGTTATTCTTCTTTCGGGACTAGGATTTTATTCTTTTAAAAAATTAACGAATGTAAAGATGTAATTATGAATTATATGGAAAAAAAAATCAACCTTTAGATCATCACTGGTCATTTTTGGGTTAGTTTCTGCTAATAACAGACGTGCTGATAAATGTTCTAAAGCTTTTGCATCTAACTTCTTCAATTCATGATTTATCCATTCTTTAGCTGTTTCTGAAATCTCCACGTCTGAAAATGAGAGCCAAATAAATTACCCAATAATTCAAATAAATAAAATATGAAAAATGAGAGCACCAACATAATAGGCACCTGAAAAGATATGATTTTTTAAGTTCGATATTTCTAATGATTCTCTATTTTCTTGTGATTCCAACCATAAATCTTGCTTCAAAAACGATCGTTGTGGCTCCAACCAAAACTGGTTATTGCAACAAATCTTTAATCTGAAGTTCAAAAACTGATTAACAGCAATTAAAAAATAGAAATTTAAAAAAGCGAATTTTTACCTTGCATCATTTTTATTCACTTGTTTCATTCCCCTTTCATTTTCTTCATATTCTGAAAATGGTGATGAGTGTGAATTCATTTCCGAATTCGAATCCACTTTTTCAGACAAATCATTCGATGTTTTTTTCGCTTTTCGGCACTAAATTTAGTGGAAATCAACAAAAATTTTCACTTTTCTTATGGTTAGTCAGATGGAAAGATATAAATCCATTAAAATCGATTAGACATTCACCTTCTTACTTAAAAGCAATATATTCTAAAAGCAGACGTTTTGAAAGAATTTTTTGCCAAAATTTATTTTTAAAATTGAAAATTTATAAAAATGAAATATAGAAGGTCAAATTAAAGTTGCAAATAATACAAAATCAATGTCCTTTCTAACAGGTGATTTCTCCAAGTACTGAAGTTCTTGTTTTTCAACAACTTTTTGCTCGTTAATTTTCGGACGATTTGAACAATTTTTCCCTTAAATAAATTTTGAAAAAAATATGCCTGAAACCTGAAAAGTTCACAAAAAATTCAAATAAATGAACGAAAATGTACTTTTATCTTCGATGTCAGAAGGCTTTGAGCCTTTTTGCAAAGTTGCATTGCCTGAGCTACAATAAAGATGATTATCATTAACAGATGTTTTTTTGAAGATCTTTACTATGGTCAAATTTTACTATGGTTAATATCTCAACTTGCCTGAAAAATTTTAAAAAAAATGAACAAATTAACCGAATAGTTTTCAGCTAATCAAAAATTGAAGTACTTATTTTTCAGCCATAACGTACCACAAATTTCCAGCAATAGTTTCCTGAATATTATAGCACCATTTGGAAGCCTTACTTTTCAATGCGGTTAACAATGCTTCATTATCACTTACATCAAGACCAAAATTAAAAGGCGAAGCCACTGAAACAAAATTAGAGAAAAATTTGTGTTTTGAAAATATTATTAAAAGGTTGAAAAATCGAAATAAAAAAAAAAAATAAAAAATTTTGATAATTTTAATAAAGTTTATAGTATAATAAAGTTTTGATAATAATAGTTTCTCTAGTTAACACTTAAAAAAACCAATAATATAACTACAACTTGTTTATGAATCGGAATAAGAATAAGATTACCATATCAGAACCAAAAAATTTGGAAAGAGCATTTTTGAATAAAAAAAATTAATGATTGAAATAAAAAAGTATTAACCACTTAAGAAAGATGTTTTTGGACTTCGATCCTCTAAACATGGTTCAAAACAATAGGGAACTTGCCAATCACCCCAAGCTATCTCTTTTGGCTAAAAAAATTTTAATATTGTATGTAACCAAGAACAATAAAATAAAAAAGCAAACAAAAAGCAGGAAAAGAAAACTTTTAAGAAGAAACAAATGGAAATTTCTAAAAAAGTCAAAAATTAAATCTAGCTGAGTGATGGCCTTACGATTATTCAATGAAAAAAATGAGAAAATAAGAAATGAGAAAAATGGGAAATCTAAAAGAAATCTTTATCAAAATTTGAATAAAAAATCGAAGTGTGTGTAATGCAATTGCAACACAAAATTTCAACGCAAAATTTCCAACACTCACAAAAAACGCGATTTTTTAATATAAGTTGAACTAATCAATATATATATATATATAATAAGAAATTCCCTAATTTTTTAAGAAATCTAACACACACTTAAATTAAATTAAATTAAATTTTTATGCATTTTTCATACTCGAATTGAAACTTATAACTGGCATTCATTTTGGCATTGTCACGAAAAGTGATATTTTCCTAAATTAATTATTTTATTTTAAATTATGCTCCCGATTCGCCAGAAAAATTATTCATCATTTTAATTAATTTATATATCAAAACGATTTAATGGAGGTTCTTTAATAATTCTTTAATATACTTACAATTAATTTCTGGAAAGGAACCAATTTTAACTTTGAAAAAATTTGTGTGGAAAGGGTGCCTACTGAATAAATTACCGTACACTTTTAGGGATCATGCTGCAATCCCTAACAATTAATAATAGTTTTCTACTTTTTTTCTAATTTTATTAAATTTAATTAAATAAATTTAGATATATAATATTGAATATAAGAATCAAGATTTTTCTCCAACATTTTTTGTGCAGTTTTTTAAATATTTTGTTTCTCAATTCACTGAATTTTTTGTGACTATTTTCGGCTGTGAATTTTAATTACCCAAGTTTGAGGTTAAGATTTTGATCGTACAACGTCTGACACCTTGTATCTTATTGACCGTTCAAGTGAAAAAATAAAATATATATGAGTAGCGGGCGAAAATATTTATTCCTTCTGTCTATTTTTTTACAGGCATTATTAGCAAATAATTCAAAGAATCTGATATTAATCTCGCTTGATGAAAAAATTAACAAAATTCCTAGGACTTCTGTAGGAATCCAACGGAAAATGGAAAATTAAACTAAGCATAATTTCATTAATGAAAAAAAAATTAGCTTACATTAGAATGGTCATGAAGTGTGAAAAATGCTATAGCCGTTTGAAGACGAGTTCTATCTAAATATTTTTTTTTCTTTTCATTTTTTTTCTTATATTCATCACCACTGTTCTTGCTATCTTCATCAGAAAAATCACTAGACGACTCGCTCTAAAAACTCATAAAATAATAGCTATTTTGATAAATGAAATAAAATTAAAAGACAACCCCTTAGATGAATTAAAATGAAAAATTACATTGATCTTTAAAAAAAATTATAAAATTATAAAAAAGAAAAAAGAAAGAATACAGAAAAAAAATTGGACGAGTGATCATCATTCTCGCTAAACAAACCGCAAGTAACAGCATGCGATATACGACATTCATCACATGAACAATGTTTCACCAAACAGTCTTTGCATTGCAAAGAAGGATCAATTTTACCAGCAGGACCTAAAACATCACATGATCATTTCGCTGTTATCGTCTCAGAATTTTTTTAAATTAAAAAATTAAAAAATATTAGTTGACAGAAAAATGAAAAACGTATCAATAGAGTGATAACAATACAGTTATCATAAATCAATAAAAACAAATAAAAAACTGAATTTAAAATTTTTAAAAATTACCAATACAAGTCGAAACTGAAGGACCGTTTTCAATGTGTAAACGCTCCGAAAAGTTATTATTATCATTCTCTGAGTTCCAATTCTCGCTAGAAAAAAATTGTAAAAAGAATGGAATACTATTTTTTTCTAATTTCTAATCGGGTTCGCTCAGGTTTAGTTAGAATAATCGATCAAAGACACGAAGCCACTTCATAATAGAAGCGACAAAAATCCAGCTGTCAGCATCACTCGGATTTTTGAGATTGGTTTAATCCTACTGAGAACAGAATCTCAGTATCGACAATCCCAAATGCGAGCAATAACCCATTGAGCCATTCTACTCCTTAAGCAATACCATTAACAATTGATTACACTAAAAGAATACATAAAAAAGTAATAATCCGCAACCGCCAGCTTTCCACTAACCTATCGTTATCGTTATAAAGATCATTTTCTTCATCGCAAAGATCAGAGACAAATTTCCATATTCGACTGTTTTTACGTGATGCGCAATCCCGCAACAATTTGCGCTGGTTTTTGAAAAATTCCTTATCTTCTTCGAGCAACTCACACTTTGCTTTTTGAGTTATCTTTAACAATCGTCGGCATATTACTTATAAATACAAAAAATGCGGAAAAAATAAAAACCCATTATAAATCGTTGCCAATAGCTCGCAAAATGATGTCTGATGTCTGAAAAGGAATATTCACTTGATAAATGATGTTTTGTTGTTCGACAAACAAAGTGAAATTAGCGCTCGCTTTTTTGAAAATTTCTCTACTTGTAATCATAAGATTGTGGAAAACACGAAAGCTTTGTATAAGTTCCATAGCACCAGGAGGTATATCTGTCCGTGAAGCATCAATACGTGCACGAGCAATACGCTCTTCTTCAGTGTCATCAGCAACGATTAATTCACATCTACAATCGGAATAATAAATTTGTTAATAGAACTAACCAAATACAAAGCTTGATTAAATTCTCACTTTAAAACTTTCTCCATGTTAGGTAAATAATTGATAAGCAAATCATCTTGATATATAACTCGATCAAATATATGATGATTTACAATTTTCCAATTTACTCCAAATAAAGATAAATATTCGTCATCCTAAAATTTTTCCCATACAACTAAAATGGTTCAAATTTGCTTATTTTATATGCTATATTTAAAAATAAAAATTCAAATAGCGATGGAAACTGTTCATAGAAAGAATTTCATTTTTTTTTGTTGGAAATAATCAAAGAACGAAACGATCAAAGTGAGAAAAAAAACACACTAAAACAGAAAGAAATGACGACATATTGCGAACAGTTTCTTGTTGACAAGAGAAACGATCCAATAAAGATCTGATGAAAAGTTTTGCTCTCTCCACTTCCATAGTAGCCTCATCGGCACCACATTCATACAACTTCAATACATTACGAAATAATCATAAAAAGAATATAAATTGGCTTGTTTTCTTTCATATGGAGATACAAACCTTGATTAGATCAGGTATCACCTGAGGAGCGACAAGGATTTGCCACAGATCGTCAGACTTCAAATTCATTACGTATTCATGGCCAATACTTTCAAGACGTTTATATAACTGATGAGGATCTCGTTTGAATAATCTAATCAGTCAAAATTTTTTTCATAAAAAAATAATAAAAATAAATAAATAATAAATAATAATAAATAATAATAGAAATAATAAAAAAATTGTATAGTTTCAAACCACATTTTTAAAAAATTATAAGAATTTGATTTAATTTTCTGAACGGATTATCCACTATTGAATATAAAATATAAAATTTTAAAAACACTTACAGAGCAACACTTCGCTTTATTTTTTCTATATCAAATTTTCGACCTTTTAAAGACAATAAATTCTTGTCAAGACCATCGCGATACATTTGTCGAATATTTTGCCGAAGTTCTTGCCAGCAAGCTTGAATTTTCTGCACTTCTTTCTCCTCGTTTCTAGCACTATAAATTTTGTTTAATATTGTCATTAACCAATTTCTCATACCAAGAACTTGAATCTTCGAAGATTCAAAGTTCCAATGCATATTCCGAAAAGTTAAACGCTTAAATTAATGAATAAGCAAAAACTTACGAATTATTAACTCGACTCTGATGCTTACACAGCGAACAATCTCGCGATTTCACTTTTGTCGACGCATCAGATTTTAATCGTGTTCTTGGCATTTTTCTTTGGAAGCAATTTTGCTGAAAAAACATTAATATAAAAAATCGACTTTAGAATAGAGGAAAATCAATGAAATGATTAAAAAAAACAAATTAAATATAGATCGACCTAAAAAAATAAAAATCTAAATTACTTAAATTTTATTTTTATTTAAATTATTCTAAACTAATTTTAATTGAATTATTCGTATTTAAATTTAATAATAATAAAATCCAAAGGATCATCTAATAAAAAATTTACTAACCATTAAAAAATATTCTAATTCAGTGAAATATCCTTTCTCTGTATCCAAACAATTATCACAGATATAATAAGCCTAAAAACTTCTATGAAAAATAAGACAGAAAGTTATGGTATGATATAATCGAAATGATAAATGCAACAAAGTTTAAAAAAGAATTATCAATAACTCATTAAAAATGCCAATAATGAAAAATAATGAAAGTGCTAACCAATACTGATTTCTTGCCTATAAACGCAAATTTTTCCTTACATATAAGGCATGTAACAATATATCTTCGACAAGAACCATTACTTCCAGATGTTGCTCGACATAAACCATCAACACGCTTTTTTTGACGCAATGAAAAACGTTTCATGTCACGCTTCTGTAAATTCACGTTCGATTTTCAAATGAAAATAAAAAAATTATGTGTGGTTAAAAATATAATTTAAATATAATATAATATAGTTATAATTTTAAAAATGCTTGAATATAACATCTATGCATCTAATAACAATGTACTTTTTATTTATTTTTATTTATTTTCTATAAAAAAAAAATTAACTTCACATTTAAATCACCCAACCATGTTACAAAAAAATAGATGAAAGAAATAGAAAAATTTAAAAGATTTAAATTGAAAAAACTTGATAAATGAAGAATTCGGCATAAATTTCATTTGACTCCTTGAATTATAAAATTTAAAATTAATTTATACCAAGAAGTTTGAATAAAGAACGAACTTTTCCATTATTTTTCGATTTTCCACAATCTTCAGCACTATAATCACAAAAATCGTTTAATTCATCATCATCGGTGTCATCAATCACCACCTGAATAGAACAAAAAATTCCAGTAAAAAATTCAACAAATTAAAATACTTGTCCTGATAACCTTCTTCATCAGATATGCAATTTCAAGCCTTAATAATAAAACTTAAAAAATAATTCTGAAAAACAATGCATAAATCAAAATCGAATCGTAAAATTTTACCTGTTTCATCGATCTTCGAGGAACAACATTAATAATCTGCTCATCGTCAAATACAGCTGCAGAATTATCGTCAACTTTATTGCTAATTGCTGTAGTTGGGCTTGAAGTAATCGTATTAGCAGCAGTAATATTTGCAGCTGAAACTGTAAGTAACGACGTGCTACTATTATTCATCGCTACTTTTCGGATTTTTTTCTTGGTAACTGAAAAGTCTAATATTTTATTCACAAATTGTATTAAAAAACAATAAACAACGAATCGATTCAGATGGAGGACCAATCGATTCAAAATCAACTTTTATCAAATTAATTCATAAGTTTAAATTAAATCAGCTTATGGAATTGAACCAAATAAAGGGAGAGAATGGCTGAGTAGGTTGTTGCACAATTCTAAGTGCCGATGCTTAGGTTCGATTCCCAGCAGGAGTAAATCTGTCCAAAAATCCGGGTGATGCTGGCTGGCACTTCTATCGCCAAGGAACTCCCTGGCACATTCGTCCAATGCGATAAGCCAGAGGAGCGAGTTTAACAAGAATGGTGAGGACTCTTAAAAAAAGACAGAATTGAATAAAATTCGACAAAGTAAGAGCTGACTGACCTACATTAATAGTACCTTCGAAAATTCAACTCTTTCCACAGCTAATTCATTAAAAAAGTCAATATCAGCGATCAAAGCAGCAAGTAGAGTGACGATTAAATTTGACTGCATCCATTAAGCGGTAAATCGACGGAGCGGAAGACAAGACCGGCGAGAGGTCAAGCCGACGAATGTCCGAGCCAACGAGGGGCCAAAAGGTCAATCGGCGGGGGAAAATTGCGAAGCCACAATGATACTAAAAAAATAAAAATGAGAGGAACGAAAATTTTCAGCGTGTTTATCAATCGATTGCATTTAGTAAAGAGAAAATCAATTCGATGAGAGAACCAAGCAATTCAGAAAAAACATTGGTCAGTGAAAAAGAGAAAGGGAGAAAGAGCGTTGGGAAGGCAATTGCAATCCAAAAAAGACACACGGAGCCGTCGACTTCTCCAATCTCCTCAACAGCGCTCTCCCTGCACATTTCTCCATTTCTCTTTCAAACCTCAAGAATAATTCAAACTTATGTTAAATAAAAAAATTAATCCTTTTTTTCAATATATCCTTCAAATTAATCCTTTATTACAATAAACATTTAGAAAAAACAAAATCATTAATTCAAATTTACGCCAAATTTAAACAAGAAATTTAAATAATAAGAATTGCACGTTTAAAATTCAAAAAAATTTTATTGAAAATTAAGAATATAAAAAATTTTGGAAAAAATCCTTAAAAAATTATTTCGAAATTATTTCGAAAAACTTTAAATTTTTCGAAATTTTCTAGAAACTATTATTTAAATGTGAAAATAAAAGCGCTCGTAAAATCTACAGAGAAGCTTAGGAATTAAAGGACTGATAAAGGGACTCATAAAGGACTGATAATTTAAGTCGAAGTCGAAGACGAGGAGAAAATAGTTCAGCTGAAAGATAAACAAGGAGTTGTTCGAACTCAAGGTGGCCGAATGATTTCAACTCCGAATTCAAGCTAACCGAGAAAGCTAAAAGTTCTAGGTGAAACTGACTGGAGCAGCCGTAAGCCCTGGCCCACGCTGCTCAGAGGACCTCAATGCTCAGCCACCAGAAGTCTGACCCACGCCCTTGAAAGAACAGATCGTTGAAATGTACCGTCATCGACTTTTAAAAAGTAAGTGTGAAATGACGAAATTGCAAACGCTATTCGAGAATATCGAAACTATTAAAATTTCGATGCACTAACAAAATTCTAAACGGCCATTCATTTTCCATTTCCCACTTTCCATTTTCAAATCCTGAAAATTCACTTTTCCTTAGCCAATTACTCATTTTTTCTCTTTGGAAATCGCTCAATAAAACTCTCAAAAATTTTTCTTTAAAAAAATTCTCTTTCAAATGACAAAATGAATATTATAAAAACGTATCTATTGTATTCTAAACCTAACGATTCAATTTTTCATTAAAGACGAAAAAATAACTCTAAGTGAAGAAAAAATGGGGTGACAAATTACAAAATAAAATCATAAAAAATTACACATTTCAATAGAAAAAAAACAAGAAAAATAGAAACAAGAAAAACGAAAATGAAAAATTCTTATTTCTTTCAAGAATTTTAATTCTTCAATAAATTACCTACTTAAAATCGAAATTATAAAATTAAAATTTCCACTTATTTCATTCAACAACAAATGAAAAAATAAGATAAAAAAGAAATTCTGAGCATAATATTTAAAATAGTTTACCCGAAAATTAGTCGCTAACTATGAAATTTATTTAGGCATCATAAAAAATAATTAAAATATCTTTCTAATTAACTAATTTTTTTTTAGTGAAAAACAATTAAATAATAAAAAGATAATAATTAAGAAAATATTAAATTATGAAATATAAAAAATTCTTAAAAAGCGGATTTTCGAAATAAAATTCTGTTTTTTTCTTGCATTTTGTTTTCTTTTCATCCTTTGTAAAATTCTTTTTCTTCTTTATAACATTAATTTTCTCGAATGAACATTAATTAATTTCTTTTTATTGTTTATAAAGTTCAAACGAAACAGGAATGCATAAAAAATGAAATATACATGACAACAATATGCTATAATTTGACTGGTATATGAGGATCAATCCTATAAATTAGAAAACGAAATACGACTGTCACTGCATGACCGAGAACGATTATGGTCGAAAGCTGAACCTAGCAACTGTATATCAGGACGAACATATTCACTATTCATAATTTCGTAACAAGATGGCCTCTTATTAACATCTAATGTTGTTAACCATCCAATGAAATCTTGCTAAAATATAAACAGTAATATATTCAAAGCAAAAATAAAAAAAATATATATATATAAAATCAAATTAAGTGATTACAATTTCGATTTCACTAATATTTTTTAGGGAAAAAAACAAGAGAAATAAAGAATTTACTTCAGAATCTGATATTTTCAATAAACTTTTCGGTGACTTTCCCTTTTGCAAATCAAACAGCGTATTATAACGTTCCATTGAAGTTTTGAATGGTATGATCATTTCAGTATAGATTAATCCAAGTGAGAAAACATCAACCTTTTCATTATATGAACGGCCTCTTAGCTACAAAAAATTTAAATTAAAATTAAAATCGCTGGCAAAAAACAATACTTAGAATACAAGAATGTTCTAAAAGTGACAAAATTATTCATCAGAAAACTATGAATGATAATGAAAAACAAACTAAATAAAAAAAGCAAATTAAATGATTAATATGAAACAGAAAAGATGTTAGAAATATTTATTATTTATTTAACAATAGAAATATTTATTTAAAGAAAAATAAAAAGATTAAGTAAATAGCTTTAGCTTAATAAGTCGATAGAATTGAAAAAAAAACTTTTGAAAACAAAAAAATGAAAATAAACCTGCTCCGGGCTCATATACAATCGCGTTCCAACATTACTTGTATGTTTATGTCGTTCGGCTTCTTTAGTTGCATCATATTCTCCAGTATTTAAGTAATTTATAGCTAATCCTAAGTCACCAATTTTCAAAGTAGCAAAATCACTGGCAGAAAAGAAAATATTTTGCGGCTGAAAATTTCAGAAAATTTAAAAATATATTTCAAATCAACTAAAATAAAGAAAATTTCTAAAATAAATACTATGATTTTTCGAATACACCAATATATATTTCAGACGAAAACTTAAAATATTATTCATAAATCAATATTTTTTCGAACCTTTAGGTCTCTATGGATAAGACCTTGTTTATGAATGTAGTCAATAGCACAGACAAGCTGAGCCAACCAATTACGCATTTGATGTATAACACGATCCTCTTCTTTGTTATTAGCCATTAACCAATTATGTAGAGTCAATTCTTGACAAAGCTGTAGATTTTCTTAATAATTTCAAAAAAATAAAATAACTTATTTTGTTCAGAATAATTTAAAAATTGCTATAGTCATTAGTTATTGAAACTTCAAAAATAAATAGAAAGTAAAAGCAACCTCCATTTGTATATAAAGATAAGAGTAATTCTTGTTTCTAATACATTTTTGCAAATCTTTCTTGCCAGCGACCAAAACAGCAGGAGGCTCAAAAAGATGTTCATTGGATGTAGATGAATTACTTTCAGATTCAGCAACACTATGATTCTCACCATTCAAATTATTTGTAAATATTATACCGAATGATTCTTCTTTTGCTTAAGAATAAAAACACAATATCATAATGACGCACTTCTTTTATTAACTTGTAATCCATTTTTCCTCGTTAAAATTAACAGGAATCAACTTTTTAAGGGATTTGATTAAACAAGGCATCAACTATAATTTACCTCCAAAAACAGAAAATCGTTTTGTTAATAACAAGTATATTAACAGGTATATTTTTTTTAAAATAAAAGAAATATTTGAGGAAATAACAAAGAAAATGAAAATGATTTTTAGTGACAATAACGAAAACAAAAAAACCTGTGGCAGGAAGTGCTGGTTCAGCGTTTTCATTATATGAATGGTTTGATTGTGACGATGAAGTAATATTTGAATCCTCTGAACCAACAGCCCAAGAACCACTTTCAGAAGTACCCATATTACATGTAATCATTGCTATATTCCTCGCGTTACTATTACCTTTGTACAGTTTTTTTGAATAGCAACAGATTGGTTTTGGTTCCTGAAAAATAAAAATGAAAGAAAAAAATTCAAATTATTGCCAAAATTTTTTGAAAATCTCTTTTAATTGCACGAATTTGAGCTTGCATCAATCGACGATCCAATAATTGGAAAAGCATCGCCAGAAGCTTGCATCGAGTTTCCACGTCTATAATATAATTCAAAATAATAATCCGCAGGAAGCGTTTGAAAATCTAAATAAATTAAGCAAAGATACATATTTCTAAGAATTTCTTTATCCTTCGCTTGTTGCCAATTTTCTGGTGGCCTTTCCATCCAAGTATGGAAATATCGAATTATTCCCGGATGGTCCAGTTTTGCCATTGTTCTTACTTCCCTTCTAACTTTTTCGATCGCCGTTGTCCTAAAATTATATATTTTTATTTTATTTACTAATCAAATAATATGGAATTCCAAAATGTGATATAGAGATTCTTTTCAAAATTTCGAAAAAATGAAAATCAACTAAAAAACCTAACAATGAAAACCTGATAAAAAATCAATCGATCAATATATATATAAAGATAAAAATTTTAATCACTGATAGTTCATAGATTCATAGATAAATTCAGTGAAATGGAAAATAAAAAATATATAATTCATCAATATATAATCAGTATAACAATCAGTACAAAAAAGTTTACAGTCCATTTACAAGTTTGTTCGATCTTGCGATATGACTGTGAGATATGGGCAATGAGGGCGGAGAATATTAAGTTATCTGCGTTTGACTCATATCCAGGATATATTTTATGGGCTTGGCGAGTAGACCACGTGATCGCATCCATACCACTTGTAGAGGTCCACCTCACCTTTAACCTATCACCTTCGTTAGTTTAGGGCATTCTTCGTCACCCACCACAAGAGTTGACAGATATTTCGTTATTTGATAAATCCTGTGATGAGTGGCGTCAAAAACAAGGTGGACCAAACAAAACCTGAACTGGTATGGTTAGGAGAGATTTTGGAAAAAAGGTGGACCAGCAATATTGATGATGGAAAATAGAATAACTTCTATTACTATCGATGATGGTATCAGTCCCCACCACTTGGAAACGTCTTACCCTTGTAGACAGTGGAGTCAATTTAACCAATAATTGTGAGAGGTGTTAAATGAAGAAGATAACAAATAATGAATACACAAAAAAAAAACAAGGAAAAAGACTAAGAGATGAATTAACAAAATATCTGCCAAAGTAAAACTGAATCCGTCAAATAAATATAATAATGAAAGCAATAAAAAACCCATATATACTGCTTAACCACCTTTGTAAAATGATTGCATATCCTAATAAAAGAAAGTAATATAAGCACTAACGTGTTGCTGACCGCAATTCTTTTAATAGCATAACTACGATCATCAAGTCTATTTCTACATTTAAATACAATCCCATAACCACCGCGACCAAGCCATTTTTCAGGAATAAAATCTTCGAGGAATCTAGAAAACTAGGAAGTAACGAAAATCAAAAATGAAGAATAATTCATATTACACAATTTTACCTATGCAAAATATAAAATATATAAAATAAAGAGAAAAAAGGAAAAAAATAAAGATTCGATATCTTTATCATTATTTCAGACCAGAGGTTGCCGACGGGGCTGCTATAAATCGATGGGCCACGGGATAAGACAAGAGGTTAATGGACAAGTATACCTGTTGTATTTTGAAATTTCGCAGAAAACTATCCTAATGAAAAAACAGAGCAGATTCACATGCATGTTCCGACGCCGAAAGTATTTATCAGTATTTTAGGTAAAATTTGTTTCTTATATTTTTATCTTATATCTTATATTTTTGCGAATCTATTCTTTAAAAATATTTTATAATAACCAACAATTATTACTGTGCCGAATAAACAAAAAAATACAGATTTCAACCAGGAAAGTAAAAGAAAACTTTTACATAAAATTTTTCTTGAATATAAATTTTTAGTATTTCAAAAATTCTATTTAATTATCATCCCTAAAATTTTATTATCAATCCACGATATAACATGTAAAAATCTTTGGGGATATGATAATCCTAATGGAAGAAAATATTTCGTTTGTATGGAATCAATGCAAGAAAAAGGCTAGGACCTTTACTTTAGATTTTGCTGAACATCTTAACGTTCATCACTTTTGTAAATTGTTCTTTTGATTTTGTAAATAACCACTTTTGTTTTTATTACTTTTACCTTTCAAAAATAATTTGAGATAGAATAGAAATTTTAGAAAATTGAAATGAAAATCAAAAGAAAAATAAATATCTTAGAGATTAAATAACATTTTTTTGTTAAAAATGAAAAAAATTATTTGGAAATCTAAAATCTAGGATCATACTTGGAAACGAAAAGACTAGAAGTAGTAAGATATGCAGCACTACTTGTTGAATTTTTACTGCACTGTAATTCAAACGGAATACTTTTCGAATTCAATAGCTTTACTGGTTTTGTGAGAAGCTGAAAAAGATATCAATTTAAGATGACTACGTTATACTCAGTTAATGGTTTTTTACCATTTTCCCATATAGAAGTTGCCAAATCTTGGCTATAGGGTTTTTAAAATCGTGTCTCCAAAAAGGATAACCGCAACTATCTAAAGCTGTAATAACAAAAAATAACATAACAAGAATAACCTGGGATGAATCGAGAATGACAGAGTTCGAATTCGGTCGAAACTTTTGCATAAAACCATTTCTAACATCATTTTCAGAATCATGAGGTTCAGTATCATTAAGTTTTTTTTTCTTCTGATAAAATAATGACAAATAACCATAGGTCATGGATGAAGAAATTATAATGATGGCAATAACAGCTGCAAGTGCGATAGCACTAACACGCCTATAAAGAACTTATTTTGATGACAAATTGATCTGGGGATAAAAGTTCTAATCCAAACTTACCACCAACCAGATACTGGTTTATTGATTTTTTTGCTAATTCGTCTCACGAAATGAGCACGTTGCTCCCGCAATCCAGATTCGCGACATTGCTGAGAATCTTTGCCAGCAACTTTATTAGATTTCGATTCCGAGGTATGCTTTAAACCTGAACGAAGAATATACCAACCAAGATTACCTGAAAATAAAAAACAACAATGAAACAATTCCTATAAGTAAAACGCCATACAAAAAAAAGAAAAAATCAAATGAATGGCATAAATATCGCACTTAAAAATCAGATTAAATAACTGTGCCATGATTGCAAAAGAGAAATGATTAAAAGAAAAACCGCATTTTTATCATAATTATAATGCAACCTCTAAGAAATATTTATATTCACAAAAAAGGCTCAAATCACCATTTTCATTCATGCTGTATCCAATGCGTTGGATTTGTGTGCCGCCCATAAGAGCACTTGTATCATCGGCGCGACAGTTCCTCGATGAAAAAGAATTCAAATTCGGTACACCATTTACAGGATCTGCTTCAACTGCATTTGCAGTACTGTACGAGCGTTTGATTAAATCAGCTGCAAAGAAATCATATTAATTCTACCTCAAACATTGCGTTAAATGAAGAAAAATTTTAAAACAAAAGGCTACATCTTGTGCACTGGAAATAAAAATCCAAAATATTAAACGATCAAGATGAATCCAAGGCTTAAGGCAGTATCTAAATAATTAAATTAAAAAATTGTCCAGTCTTATCCAACTGTACAAAATCGAAATTTAAAATTTTTATAATTTATTCATTTTTGTGATGAAATTCTCCTCAGAAGTTTGTATTTCAAAATAACAAAAAAACTAGATAAAATCAATCCTTACCTTCGTGAATGCAATTACATAAATGATTACTTTAAAACTCACTAACTGAAAAATCTGGCAGATATAACGAGTGTTTTGCTGAATTTGAGGCTATTTGTTTATAAGACGATTCTTCATTTCTCCTTAATTCACCGCGCATTTTATCAGAAAAAATAAGATAAGGTTCTGAATTAACTGTACCTGAAAACAGAATGATTATAAAAATTATAAAATTGCTGTGCAATATATTTAGAAGAAAAGCTATACGATTAAAAACAAATTACCAAAATAAAAAGGCGCTTCGAAATTCATCAATTCATGCGACGACTCTGGGCCATCGATTTCACCCGTTTCAATATTTTCCCAATCAAATAGAGATACCTATGAAAAAAAGAAACAGCATAAAAAGCAGGTAATCAACAACTGATAACAATATAAAGAGCAAACAACCGAAAAATATTCAAAAATAAAAACAAAATAGAAAATAGAAGTTGGAAGAAAAATACTTCAGAGATTTTCCCATATAGAAGTTGCCAAGTCTTGGCTATAGGGTTTTTAAAATCGTGTCTCCAAAAAGGATAACCGCAACTATCCAAAGCTGTAATAACACCATCAGGAGGACGTAAAAGAAATCGAATATTTGAAGACTTCTGTTCTTTCGAATGATGATCAAACGCATTATTTGAGGCTAATGATATTGTATAATCACCAACTGATGTATTCCATCTGAAATTTTGTCAGATCGATTCATCGACTACAAAAAACTCCAGATTTTTTCCATCAGAAATGTTTTTAAGTAAAATTATTCTCAAAAATAGCTTTCACAGATTACGAGTAACCTTTCCAATCCAGAAAATGGATCAGCTGCTCTAATTATTTGTGTACTTCGCTGGACAAGTAATGTATAAAGAGAACCAGAAAGCGCATTCTTCTGCTCACAGTTATCAGGAGAACAATGATAACGAATCTAAATGATGATATATATGTGAACGTACAAAGATTTTATGAACTAACAGAATAAGAATAAATATAACTTGGACCTGTCCCGTAGCTGGATCAATACCAGTAGATGACAAAATTGTACCACCAGCTAAAGCATCATTTCCCACCATAACACTTTTGCCAGCACTTACAGGAATTGGATTAAGTGCATTGTCGCTTGTATCAAATGCATATAACGATCCGTCCAAAGAAGGTACGACTACATATGACGGTTTTTGTGATGATACCTGAAAAAATAGAAAAAAGAAAATTATTTTATTTATCTCAACCATAGAATTTGTTTATTCATATTATTATCATATATTAAAGTTATTTATTGTTATTTATTCTTTTCAACAAAAATCAAAAATTTTCCTTTTTAACTGATGACCATGCTATTCAATGCTTACAACATTATTTCTACATTATTTCTATCAATTTTAAAATTTCTTCAAATTGAAACTTACCGATAAAACACTAGAATGTGGTGTCATTAAAAAATTATCAAATAAACAAATAAATAAGAAAGGATAAAATCGAAATTTGCAATAAACCTGATAAGAGTGCAATGTGCCTGAAAGAAGCGGCACTCCATCTAAATCACTTGACCAGACAATATTTCCATTATTATTAACATCTATAGCAGTAATTTTTCCATCCATGGTACTTACCTAAAAACTAAATCTTCACAATTCAAAGCAAGAAAGAAATATCGAATAAACTTTTTAGCGCAAAATAAACTGTGAGACCAATTTTGAAACCAATTTTTTTGTTAAAAAAATAAGGTAAAACAAACCAATATGTAATGAATGTTATCGATATTAAACACATCACTCGAACTACCAATGATCTGAAACAAAAGAACTTCTGATAATATCTAAAATAATGCAAATGAATACTCGAAAATAAGCAATTGCAATTGTTTCCAGAGCCAAGATTCAATGCAATCATTCAATCATCTAAAAATAATTTAACTAACCACAGAAAAAAAACCTAAAATTACTTTGGTAAAGTAAATCATTAAAAATCATTAATTACTTCATTTTTGAAATAATTTTTAAAAAATATTTAGTAAATATTTAGTAATATTTAAAGAAACAAACATCTTCAATATCATCGACAACAACAGCATCACCATCAGTAACAACTTCTGAACAAAAACCTTTCAACAAAAATAGAAAAACTGCTAGAATCAACGAGCGTTGCATCACCACTCTCATTTCCTTACAAACAATAAATAATAAATAATTTTAGAATAAAAATAAATGCCTAAATTGAATCACCAAAATTTCAGCAAATAAAAATTTTAGAAGTAATAAGCAATAAAAATTTTTCACCTGAAATAAAATTTTCTTATTTTACTTCATTTATAAAAATAATTAAAAACGAAATAACGTATAAAAAAATAATTAACATAATAAAAATGTGGTTTAAAAACATTAGGCAAAAAATTATACTGTTTCAAATAAAATAAATATTATAATACTGAATCCATAAATTTGACGTAATGAAACTAAAATTTTTTTTTGAACACGTTAGGAAATTTCAAATTATTTAAAACTTTACTTAGCGATAAAGCAAAAAATTTAAATACTTACTATGATTAATGTAAAACTTCTCGTAATTACCGTTTTAAAAAAATACAAAATTATAAAAAATATTTAATAGATAAAATAAATTTCCACTGCAAATATTGCAAATAAATACCATTTTTAAAAATTTAAAATTTAAAAGTTTAAACGTGTCTTAGTGGAAAGATGAAAGGAAAGATCCACAGAGAATTAAGAATAGCTAGGGATCGAAGTTGGCCAATGTATTACGATGAAAGCAGAAAAAGGTAGAATGGCTGTTGTAAAAAATATAGTTGTTGATCAGTTTGGAGAGTCAATGAGAGGATCTATGTTCGCCAGAAATAAACCTATCGTTCAAAAATCCCAATGATGCTGATTTAATTTGTACTTTTATCGCCAAGTAACTCTTTGCATTATTAAAACTTGTCTGGTCCGACAAGTTAGCACAATAATCCTGATTAGAAATAGAAAGCACTCTTAAGAAAAAAACTGTGATAAAATAACGGCAATATTTAGTTCTATATGATGAACTAGTATTCTATTCTAATCATCTAGTACTTCCACTTCTAACTGCAAGCACCATTAGTGGTTTGACCCCGCTAGCTAAAAGTATGGAACATATTCGACTTTGCTATAATACAGCTATACAGATACCTTAGGAAAACATTAAAAATTCATTGGCATAAAGTCATCCAAGAAGTGTGGATCGCAGCACTATTAGATTTCACTTTCAATGATTCTCTTCGAGAAACAGAAACCTAATTCATTTGTCAGTCGAAACGAAATATAATTCGATTAAATATATACCAGGGGCATAGAATGGCTCAGTGGGTTGTTGCTCAATTTAAAGCAGTGGTTCTACTCCCTGCAGGAATAAACTTATCCAAAAATCCGAGTGATGCTGGCGACTCATCTGTATTTCTATCGCTAAGGAAATTCTTCACATATATTCGCCTAGTGCGATAAGCAAGCCTAACCAGTAAGAGCACTTTAAAAAAATACCATTTGCAGACAGAATCTCTAACAAAAGTTTCCATCTGCCTGGTAGCTAGAGCCAATTGGTCACCACGTGGCAATAATTGAACGCCTTTTTTACATTACACTGTGTCTCATTTTTTTATTCTATTCGGGAATCGCAATATTAGCGAAGAATAATGAAAAACTAACGCTAATGACTGGATTTGGTGCAAGAATAACCAAAAAGTACCAAACTTTTCCATTTCTACATTAAAACATTGCACGAATAGTTTGAATGGAATCATTTTTTCTCGCTGAAACCAAAAATTTTTATGCTTCAACTGGAATCTGTTGATAAAGCTTGAAAATAAAACAAAAATAGCAAGGAAAAAATTAACTAACCATATAGAAAGAAAAAACGATGAAATTAAGCCCAAAACAAAATTGCTCATCGAACCTTATTATCAACGAAATTTTTCGTTCCAAATTTGTTGAAAACTCGGAGAAAATCTGGAATCGAGAAAAATTATTTCTTTAAATAATTCGAGGAAAAATAAAAATTTGAATTTGAATTCGTAATTTGAATCCTTTATTTTTTCGCCAAAAAAATGATACAAAATTTCAATTTAAAACGATCAAAATCAATCATTCAATGAATTTGAATAAAATTTTTGAAGAATTTGTTTATTTTCGAAGGAAAATTTGAAAATTTATTAACTTAACCGCTCGATTCTGCTTTCAATTAAGGTTTAAATAAAAATAATTTAAAAGGCAAAATTACGACTTTCGACAAATTTTCGCGCAAAATAAAAAATTTTTTTATTAATTTACTAATTAATTTTACAGATAAAATTCTAAATTTTATAAGTTAAAAATAAGAAACAATAAAACTGAAAATAAAAATGAAAGAATCTACACAAGTAAAGCGAGCAAAATCAACGAAATATAGGAAAATACACCAATTCATTATACACCAATTATTTGGCGTAAAAAATTTTGAAGCCGCAGTTTGGAACTTTTACGGCCCAATGCGTTCCAGCCAAATTTAAAGCATTGCATGCTTATTCATTATTTTTTTCGCTTTTTTTCTTCTTGGAAATTTATTTTATTAATAGAAATCGATGTTTTTTTCAGCGTTTCTGTAAAAAATTTCTAAAGAGAAAGCGAAGTGAAAAAATTTAAATAAATAAAAAAATTTGAAATAAACCTAAAAATTTATAATAAAAATGAAAATTTTAAATATGGAAAATTCTAAGAAATTTAAAACAATCAAAATTGATTGTAAGGTAAATTGTCGAAATTTCTTTCATTTGGGATAGAATAGAATGGTGTTGTTGCTCAATTGGGAGCGCCGATGCTGAAGTTCGATTCCCCGCAGGAGTAAACCTGTTCAAAAATCCGGGTGATGCTGGCGACTCGCCTGTATTTTTATCGCCAAGGGACTCCCTGGCATATTTGTCCAATGCGACAAACCAGAGGAGCGAGTTTAACCAGTAATGGTGAGGACTTTTTAAAAAAAAATCTTCTTGGAAATTTATTTTATTAATAGAAATCGATGTTTTCTTTTTTTAAAAAAAAATCATTTTCAATAATTTAAGGTCTTTAAAAATTATTCAATAGCCCACCAGCAAACTTGCGAATAAATTGTGAGTAAATTGTAAATTTTTTGTGTCTATTTATCACTTTCTTTATCAGTCATCTTTCTTTATCCGATAGTGAATTCTTCTAAATGAATTTTGAATTTCGACAATTTACCTGACAGTCAAAATTGATTGTAAGGTAAATTGTCGAAATTAAAGATATAATCTTAATCGAAGATATTAATAAAAATTGAAATCAAAAAAGGAAAAAAAATTGGAAAAAATTTAGAACCTAAATTTTAATCAAATAACATCCCTATTTATTGATATAAGCGATTTTTTTTGCAGAATTCCAGGTCGGTGATTTTTTGAAGTATAAAGCGAAGCTCGTTGAATAAAAAAATTTCTTTTTGCAAAATAATATTAATATTAATGAAAAGGTTCGGAGAAATGCATTTCAAAATTATTATAGTAAATTAAATTATATAGTAAATTAAATTTGGAAAAAATTTGTTAAATACAAAAAATGGACGGATAAAATTGAAGTTTTCTACTTTCATTTTCCATTTTCATATTTTCCCTTAACTTAAGTTTTTGTATTCTTAATAAATTTGTAAATTTTTACATTTATAAATTCCATGTTCGTTGTTAATATAATAATTATAATTATAATAATTATAATAAATAAATATAAAAATAAAGCTTAGATGGAATATAATATTTGAAACATTTATTCAACGGAAGTAGCGATTTTCATTTTCATTTAATTAAATTAAAATCACTTTTTCTGCAAAATTCTTCTTCTTCTAACAGCTCTCGCCATCACTGGTTAAGCTTGCTCCAACGGCTACAAGGATAAGACGTTTCCAAGCGGCGCGATCTGATGCCATCGTCGACAGTAATAGGAAGCACTCTTTTTTCCATCGTCTAAGTCCATATATTGCTTTTCCTCCTAAACATTCAAAATCTTTCCTGTCTTCAGTCTTAGTCGTGATTGCCCCACCTCGCTTTTGACGCCAACCATCACAGATTCGGCAAGTAGCGAAATATATGTCAACTCTTGTGGTGGAAAACGAAGAACGTGTCCTTAAAAAAAACTGGTTACTAATTTTATATTTACTGCATTTAATCGAAATGATAAAGGCAACGATTCGAAGTTATACAATATTGTACTAATCAGCGAAGGCGACGTTCTGTGATAGTATTATTAATGCAAGTGGTATTTGAACGAAGGTGGATCTTGTGAGATTTTACTCTCGGCGAACTCGTAAAACGTACCTTAGACATGAGTGGTCAAAAGTAAATGACTAATATCTTCCACTCTCATCGGTCATGCCTCGCAACCATATAGCAAGATCAAGCGAATCGCGGTAGTATAGATGTAGACTTTCATTTTTATGGTGACTTCACGATGGCTCCATAAAGATTTCGTCAACCGTGATGCCGTAATCCGGGTTGTAATATCATCTTTTACCTGGCCATTTGGTATTAGAGTGGATCCAAAGTATTTAAAATCAAGCACTTCCTCAATCGCCAATGAATTTAAAAAATGTATTTTATCAG